AGTTATTGCTCTGAAATCATTTCTCAGGGAGTATTCTTTTATTACTCACTTGGCATATCTCCCGTTAGGCTCCTAAACGAGTAATAAAGGAGTACAAAATCGACAAATCAAAATCATGCCTCTGGGACTATTCTTTTGTTGCTCACTTAGAAGATCTCGGATTTGACTCCTAAGCGAGTTATAAAGGTCAAAACCGAAAAATCTCCCATTGCTCCGAAATCAAGCCAAAGGGAGTTCTCTTCTATTCCTCACATTGGGAGATCTCCCTTCAAGTTCTAGTGGGATTTTTCGCGGAAATATTTTAGAATTTTTTAAAATCAATAAAGTGTTTAATATTAGCGATTTTTATGGGTCCCTTTATTACATTTTACAGTTCCAATAACAAAACAGGTATATTTTGTTCGATATAGAATATTCTAAGGGGGTGAGAGCATTAAAATTCAAATAGGTATTACCTTTTTAGAAAGGTCCTATCTCACATCGTCGGTGAAATGCCAGAAAACACTTTGGTGGACTGAAATGATGAAATGCATCATAATCAATCAAAAAATTACTTTTGAATTTTTAGTTAGTTACAGCTTTTTGTATTACAGCGACGATGTGAGATACATACATACATATATCAACGTAACAAAATGTAGTTATCTAAATACGTACATACCTCTAGCTGCTCATTATAAATTTGTTCCAATTTTAGTTCATGTACAGTGCATAGTCTTTTTAGTTCATCATTTGATTTGTGAGCTTTTTGCCTAAAGTTAAAGAATATCTGCACATCTTGGACACACCGTGAGCATAGAGATCTTGGCAGATTGTCAACGTCTGTGGCGTGAAGCTGGGTGCATGCGTTAAAGTAGTCGTAAAGCGTCTTACCATCCCCCTGCGTAGATAGGCTCATTTCCGTGAATTCACCATCGGTGTCCATGCACGCACGGCATTGCATTTTGTCAAGTTTTCCTCACTTATTTATAACTTATTTTTAATCTTATTGCCCCAAAAAAGGCAAGGATAGGGATGAAATAAATACACCTTTGATGAAACGATACGAGTTCGATACCAAGTAATTTTGGTATCGATACTTTTGAACCAAGTACTGAGTAGGTATCGACATGGCGCACTTAAAAGCTAATAAAACATCTTTCTCGCTTTATTTTCTGACATTCGGCTGCCTTGTATTTAGGCAAATGTTCAAATGAGGCAGAGTCAAAATCTTTCTTCTTACTCTAATATTTCACCTGGTATAATTCCAGCATCGGTATCGGAAAAATTACTCGCAACCCTGCAAGAAATGGCAGACTATATCGAAAAGATACTATCGATTGTACACCCCCATACATAAGGTGCATTCTTTTGCAACCAAGCTACAAAAGAACACTGTTGTTGTTGTTGTAGCGGCTAAAACACCCCGCCCAGGTCGCTTGGTATCTCAGTCGTTGTCGTCAAGTTCCACTAACGGCAGCCCTAGGAAGCGTGCAGCTTCTGTTGGGTTGGCCCACAAGGACAAAGCCGTTAGGGTTGTCAGGTTTTCCGGGCATGCGAAGAGATGTTTCGAGTCATGTGGGGTCTCTCCGCATGCCGGACACTCATTTGGCACATCCTCATTCAATCTACTCAGGTAGGAGTAAATAAATAAATAATTAATTGCGTATACAATATTATTAAAATTATAGTTTTGCACGATATGTACATCTGCAATTTTCATTTCGTGTTGGCGATAACAATAGAAACCACAACCTATGTGCAACCTTGTGCCAAACTCGACATAACCACATCAGAGCAAACTAAGCAGCCGCCATTTAGTTTGCCAAACAAAAGTTTGGCAGCATAACACCGACCTTAAATGACGAAATACATGCAAAGCAATAACACAGGCTCGGCTACCGCTGACCGCTCGTTTTCGTCAGTCAACCAGTGTTGCCATGGATATTCCCCGAATCCGAGATGATTCCCAATACTTGCGTGCATTTGATCACCTGCTTATGCGCATTTTAAAGAGGAAAATGCATGAGTCAAAGCAAATAAAGGCTGTTTATGCAAATAATCGAGCCCGTTTGTCAACCGTATTTAGGGAGTGCTTTTCAGTGCCAGTTTAAAATTAGATTACGTAAATTGCGGCTATATTGAATAGCTGGCTGACATTCGATTGGCTAATCTTAGTTTAAACCAATCAGCTCGCGCATTTACACTTAAGCCATGCACTGAAAAACGCTCTAAATGTATATCAAATTAAAGCTAAGAACTTGCACTTTCTAAATAATACATATTTGTTTCTTCTTGATTATGCACTTTTTCCAAAAAAGGTTATTTTCTGAGAAAATTATAAATATATAAAAATTTTGTTTTTTAATATTTTTGGCTTAAATATATAAACAAGAATACATGTTTTATATATCGACTTCAAGATAAATTAATTGCCTTTATTTAGACATCATTACCTTTATAATCGGCTACGTAGTTTAGAAAATATTGATATTCTAAAATATCACAACATTTTTTTAACCTCTTTATATCTTTAATTTTCAACTGCGCCAAGCCATACACTGAAAAACTGGCCCTTAACGATTTTAAATCAACGTTTTTAAAGCAACACTTCACAAATACCAATAG